ACAAAAGAAAAAAGCTAATTTACAGAACCATCCATGGGAGGATAACAAACAGTGTATTAAAACTTTGGTAACCTCTTCCCCAAATAGGATCTCTATTTCAACTGACAGATGAAGAATTCTACAAATTTGAAGAAAATATTGGCCCTAATGTTGGTATTGAAAAGGTCAGATTAGTCAGTTCTATTCTTAATGGGAAAATAAACTGAATGAGGAAGAGGTATACTGAGAAATCAAAAAGCCCACCTCAACTGGGTTTATCTACCCATTGGAAGAGAGCAGAATGGCCTCATAATGTTTCCAAGAGTGTAAAGGTTTAGGGAAACAGACTGCTACCCACATCTTTCTCCCCTCCTGGTGGGTTCTAGTCCCTGGCCTCTTGGTTGGCAACTGAACATTTTCACTACTGGACACTCTCCACAAAGGCTCCTTTCCTGAGGGGAAGAAGGGGGAGGGGAAAAGAAAGGGAATTTTTAAAGAGAAAAAGTAGAGAGATCAAGGACTATTGTTGTTGTCATTGTTAGATGCCCTCCAGTTCATTCCCACTGATTGACCTGTGGACACCGGAAGGAGACACTGCCAATCCTGTGCCATCCTCACAATGGTTCTTACATTTGAGCCCATCCATGCAGCCATTGTGCTCTCCATCTTGTCAAAGGTCTTCCTCTTTTTTGCTGCCCCAATATTTTACCAAGCATGTTGCCCTTCTTCAGGGACTGGCCTCTCCTGGCAACATGTCCACAGTACATGAGACAGATGGAAGAGCATGATTAAACTCTAAAATAAAAATGTACACGTGTTTAAGGGTGACAGACTTGACAGGCATCTCTCTTCCTGAAAGCATGGATGGATGAGGGAGTAAAGGGTGGAAGGGGGACTCTCTGCCCTTAACCCTTTCCTGTACTCAAACCTTTACCCCTTCATCTGTGTCCTCAGAGGGTGATGAGACTTTTGATTGTCAGACTTTTTAAATTATACCAAACTCCTCTCCCAAAAGTTATTATTAAAAAGTTCTAATGGCTAGAAAGTATGTCAAAAAAGAAAAACAAACTAAAGAAACCATAAATAGAGAAACAGCCTCATTTGCTTTCATCTAGAAAATCACCTGAAAATGACAATGACTTTTCTTCTTTTTTTTTTTCTTCAAATTGCTACACAGGAAAGCCCTCGCCCGGCCTAGAAAGCCTCTGAGCAACTGCCGGATGCTACCAAGTCAAGATCCTCCATAGACAGGAAATGCCTTTGCCAGCTCCAAGGTCCCCTTCCGGCAGCCCTCTCTGCTGTCTGGAGAGATTTGTGTACATCCGACTGAAGAAGTTTCTCTGCCTGGAACTTCGAGTCAGAGAACTGCTTCAAAAGAAAGGCATCGCTGGTGCTTTCTAGCTTTTCTTGCTGTCACTTAGCACGCCGGATGTCATGCACTCACTTGATGTCTCCTCTCCCTTAAGTCTCCCAGGCCTTTAGAGCCTAGGATTCAGACCACCCAGAGGTGTAGGGGCTTCTCTGCCTTATTTCCAGCCCAGATTTTATCTTGGGTTGGGTACCCTCCAGTCTATTCCGACTCATGTGACCGAGGAGAACTGTCCCATAGGGTTTTTGTAGCTCTAATCTTTCCGGAAGCTCTTTATCTACAACAGTGTATTTCCTTCAAGATAGGGTTCCCTGCAGCCACATCTTAAGGGATAGCTACTGTTCTGACGTTGGAGCACAGATATTTTCGGTGGGTAGGAGCAATCTCCAAATTGCTTCTCATATTAAAAATCCATCGAGGGACAACATGGGAGTGGACATGTACAGAGAGCCCAGTTTGGAGTCCATAAAACCCAAATACGATGAAAAACGAATGTTAGTGCAACATTGGATGATTTCCACCCCAAGATGACAAAACTCCTGACCATTTAGAACCATCTTGGGAGGCTGTTTGGTTTCCTGGCCCCTGTCTCATCTTGTCAGTAACTACATAAACATGAATTCCAATCACAGGTTTAAAGGTTAGTTTTGAAACTTAGGTTTTTAAAGAAACTCAAATTAGGTGAGCTTTTCGGTTCATATGAGTTCCCGCAGGCAGGAAAACTAGGAGGATTTTGGGACCTCCCGCCTGTCCCTGGCACAGTGAATTTCTCCCGAGTCCAAATATGTTTCCTTGAACCCCTGTCCTCACCCCAGTAACAAAACTGAATATTCACAGTAATGAAACCACCAAAAAAAAAAAAAAGCTTGTCAAAAATGTTGAAAGAGAATAGCTACTTTCACTATCACAGATGGTTTCCTCTTTTCCCACAAGATGTCTTATCAGCTTTCACCCTGAAAACCCATGAAAAGTAAGAAAAAGAAACCTTATGCAACAGTTCTCTAAATAAAATACTACACAGCAGGCTAGTCTTCCCTCAAAGTGATGTTGTTTAAAGAGTCAAAGTACATCATGCAACAAAATCAATATCCTATTAAGTTAGAAAGGGTTCTGAATATCAAAGACCAACGAACCGAATAACTTAAAGTATACGTACATGACCCAGGGGATTAATCACACGCTGTCATGGTGAAATTAGGGCAATTCTTCCAATCATTAACGTTTTGCTTACAAAAATGTGCTTTTCTGTTTGTCTTTCTGCTAAATGATAACCGTTTTCAAGTTGAAGCTCCTGATAAAAAGAGTCAAAAACAAGACAGGAGTTGTGCTGTAAAGGTCATACATGCCGCTTCAACAAGAAATAGCTAAAAGACAAACAAATGAAAAAATGCCTGGATTGTAAGAAGAATTTGTAAATATTCACTGGCAATAGGCAGTGGGGTGCTTCAGAAAACAGTCAATGTCAACCTGTGTCCTGGGAAGACTCGGTTTCCTCCCAGTTGCATGCTCTTAATTCCTTGGGAAATATTCAGATTCTAAGATGGGCCACTTGAAGAGTGTTAGGAGTAGCTTTGTATTTGAAAACCACCTGGTTTCAGGGGGTTGTCTACTTAAAAACAAGCCTTTGCCCCACAGTTTTTCTAGTGTCAATCAATACATAAGCCTGTATTTCTCTGCGTGATAGTCATGATACAGTTATTCTCAAGAATAAACATTAACCAGGGGTTATCTCCAGGAGCGAAACACACACACTGATTCCAAGATTGCCCTTAACTAACTCAACACGAGGGCCACAAGCCTCTCATTCTCCAAAAATGTGATCCAGACAGTCCCATTTCCAGATGAGACTGATTACGACCCTTAAAACCTGGATGTAACCTGTCAGGCAAATCAGCAAACTTGGAGCCCGCAGCTGATGGGAAGGGAAAGTCTCCCACTACATGATTACCCTGCGCGGAGAAAAGGGGCTTGAATTACATTGGGAATGTGTGGGTGGAAGGGCTCTTATAGAGCATTCTATAGATGAGAAAATTGAGGTTGAGACTACTCCGTCCCAAATCTTCATCCTTCTGGGTCATGTACACTTCTCTGTTTGAGGATCTGTACTAAGTCTCTCGGAAACCTAAATTTCACCTTCATTTCCAGAGCCGCCTGATTATTTACAGAGGCAGCATGTCAGTAACCTCCTGCACACAATGGCTTTTTCACACCATCAGGCAATCTTCCTTTGCTGCTAGCACCTAATCTAAGGAGCCATAGCGCCCTGGTCAGTCAGGCCAGGGCCATGGTCAGTCTTTCACTAGACTCAGCCCAGGAGGCGCCTAACTCTAGACAATGAGGAGGCCTCTAGGGAGGCAACCGCTAGAGGGGAAGATTTCTGGGCCTGCCTCCACACAGGTGTCTCTCAGCCTCATCCTCATCCTGGACTACCAGGAGCCTGATGGTTCAGCTAGGTAAGTAGCTGGAGAGCAGGCTAGCAATACCCTGGGTCACAGGTGAGAATACTGAGCTCACCTCATCTCAGGCTCTCAGCCCCCAAACCCCCTCCACTCTCACCCTCTCCCATTTCCCCATACCCCTTCCTTCACCCTACACCAGTGGTTCTCAACCTTCCTAATGCCAGGACCCTTTAGTACAGTTCCTCACGTGGTGGTGACCACCCAACCACATAATTATTTTCGTTGCTACTTCCTAACGATAATTTTGCTACTGTTATGAATTGGGCGACCCCTGTGAAGGGGTCGCTCGACCCCCAAAAGAGTCGAGAGCCACAGGTTGAGAACCGCTGCCCTACACCCATAAGGCTCACCACCCTGGCTGGGCCTGGGTCCCCCCCTCTGCTCCCGATTCCTCTACCTCCCTCTCTCTCCTCCTTAGTCCCTCCCATCCCCACCTCCATCCACACAGGTGGCAGTCCTTGAAAGGAAGCGGGTGGAATGGGAGTGAAGGGGTGTGAGGGGCCCAGGTTCTCCCACCTTACAGCAGTGGCTTAGGCATGTTAGAAAGGCAAGTTCCCCACTCCACCCCTGCCATGCGGAATCGGAAACGCAGGGGTCAGGCTCAGTCATCTGCGATGATTATGGAGCGAATTTAGGAGTGAGGACCGCCGCACTCGGGGCCAACTCCCCCGCCCCGCCCCCGGCTCTTCTAGGCCTGACACCGCATCCCATCCCCCGACACTCCTCCCACTGCGCGCCAGGCCCCGCGGCTCCAGGCCGAGCGCTCGGGCGGTGACGCAGTGTTGACTCAAGCTGGTCAAGGACAGTGGCCCGGGCCAGCCCAGTGAGCAGACGAGGATCGATGGGGCCGGGCCGGCGGCGCTCAGCGCCGGCCGCGGACAGCCTGGGTCGGGCTTTTCTCTCGCCTGGTGCACCCAGGGCTGCAAACGCGCCGGGTCTGCGGGCTAAAGGCGCCTCGCTGCACGCCCCCAGCCCCGGACAAGCACGCCCACCCCCCAGGAGCCAGCCCAGAACTGCGGCCCCCACCCCCCACCCCGCTTGCTTCGTAGCAACCCTGGCGCAGAAGCTCCGTTCTTCCCAATTTCCCCACCCTGGTGTTAAACACCAGGCTAGGCACCTCGGCGGCGACGTTTCAAGTCGTCTTTAGTAGTGGTTGTTTGGTTTGTCGAATCAAAGAATCGGATACCCAACGGGCCAGTCATCCCACCGACAGATTTATTTTATACCAAGTTTCTCCACTTGAAAAAAAAAAAGACCACCACTTTGGCCATTCCAGTGAACGATTATATATACAAACAACATTATAAACATTGATATAAAACAATTATCTACAACCTTACATTTAATTAACCTGCTACTAACCTTCTAGACCATTTGTGATTAATGTCAGTCACCTCGCCAGTCAGCTTCTCTGCTCGCGTGGGACAGTACTCGGCCCCTGATCAGGGAATCTCGGCGGGGTAGAAGTGAGAGCACTCAGCTGCTTACCAAAAGGCAGGGGGTGGGGGGCTTCAAATCCAGCAGCCTCTCCTTGGGAGAGCGCCTTGGCAGTCGTTTGCCAGCGAGATTTACAGCCTCACAAACCCGCATCTGTCCTATGGGGTTACTAAGAGTTGGTATGACCTCCACAAGGCAGGGGATTTGGGGGATCCCCATGGTCGAGCAGGTACTGAGAGTGCAAAACAAGCATTGAAGATTCCTATCAGCTCTCCCTGACAAATGAATACAAACACACGAGAAAAACTGCCATGATTTCAGGCAGCAATGTAAGAATTTCACATAAACGACTGTTTCCTTTTAAAATATCCCTAGACTGCCTGCAAAGCCTTGGAGAACAAGGCTGCCTATCTGTGCATTTAGGGTGTCCCTTTACTCTTCCAGTTACGTGTGGTGGAGATTCCCAATTACAGGAAAGTTATTCAAGAAGAACCTGCTTAAAACCTTTTAAGTCATAACTTAAAAACCTAACAAAAAGTGGAAAAGATGGCTTTTCTATAAATAGAAGTAATGATTTACTTTAGCGGGAGATGGGGGGGCTGAAGAGTCACTTTATCACAGAAATCTAAAATCAGCACACCATCCATTTAAGGCTTCAATGTGAGCTTGTTAATTAGTGCACCACATATTTTAGGGTTTCTGGAATACCAGAAAATTGGTTCCTTTCTCTTATATTTTTCCACTTCTTCCATGAAGATTTTCTGAAGCAAATTGTCATCCCCAAATCCAGTTTGCCAAAGATGCCAGCCAGAGCCAGTGGCTATCATCCAGCATTAAAATAGCCTTTATCACCCTCAATGTCCACTTCCTGATCCGAGTCCTCGGAGATCTCCGATTCCAGGTCTTCCTGGGAGACCGGGGAGGGTGAACACTGAGAGCTATCCAGAGAAGCACCTTTGTTCTGTTCACTGGGCAACTCTTGCCTCTGTTCACAAGGATTGTCCAAACTTTCCAGATCATCTTTTTTATTCCCTTGAGGGTTCTCCTGACCGGAGGAGAGGAAAAGGAAGATTAGCATCATGAAATACGGAGAAGTAGAGACATAAAGTTGAAATAGCCCTCATTCTGTACCATTGTTTTAATTTTTCATTTTTATCACATGCTTTCTGCCACAATCATTTTATTCAGAAAGCACAGGCTTGTCACTTCTTTTTCATTTTGGAAGAGATGAAATGTCATGTTGTCATGTAGGCAAGATTATACTCTAGCCAGATAAAAGGCCATGTAGCTGTAAATGTGTATGTCAATAAAATGCTGAACTCCAGCGTAGGCTCATGGTCTCAGGATTTATAAAAGCTTAAAGGGGTGGGGAGAGGTCATAACTACAGATATAATTCTCTTTTTTTTTAATTCTCTTTTCAATTATTTGTGAAATTGTTTCAAAATCATTTGTATAAATTCCCTTTACATTCTTTCCCTACAGTAAATTTATACACACAAGTATGTGTAGCAGTTAAAAAATCATGTCAAAGAAAAAAAAATACAGAACTGGAAGAATGGAGTTAAACAACTATAATTTACTTTTAAATTTCTGGAAAGCATTTCCATATTACATACTATTTTAAGAGTTATACATGCATCCTATTTAAAGAGTGGTTAAATGAAGTCAAGCCTTTTATGAAGAATTACACAAATTAGTGAATTTTTAATCTTGTGTTTATCTAAACTGGACATGGACATTAAATAGAAACAGTATGATAATGATATTGAGATTTTCTTTAAACCAAAGATTGACATACTCACTTGATAGCAACTACACAAAATAGATGCTCACAGTCCAAGACTAACATGAAATCTCCAAATATTTAAATTGTATCAGAATAATGAAATTAGGAAGATTTTTTTGCTTCAGAATTTTCTTTGTACTTATGACATCTTGTTTTAAAAAAACAAGTAATAAAAATTTTATTCCACATTGCTTCATGAATTTCCTCACTTGTATTATGGCTTCAAAATATTGTATTTATTAAACTGGGTATATACATTGGCAAGTGAAAAATTCAGCATTTGTTGGGTACATTTAGAGAATATATTCTGATAAGAACATCAAAAATAAGTCTTTGGTTTTAATTTAACAGAACTCCTTTATTTACTGTTTTGAATAAAGCGCCTCTAAAAACTGCAGTAGCCTATACTTTTTATCACAACTTGCGTAGCAAGGTCATTGAGTGAAAGGCTATTAGGAAGGTTTAACTACTTTCCAAACAGGGTACATGTTTTCCATTCATTTTAAGGACTGGGAGTTAGATGGAAAATCATTTTTTAAACACGTTGATATTTAATTCTTCTAAAAGGCCTTTTAAGGTGGTGCAAACAAGACTTAGGTGTTTATTTCCTTATATTTACTCTTGAGTTCTGCCTGGTTTTATTATGGCTGGGTAAATAAAAGAAACAATTTTCTCCCAAAGATAATTGCTTAAGTCATTTACTGTCAATTACTTTATCTTTCCTGCGTTAATTAGATAAACAACATATGGGGTTTATAAAACAATTAGCCAGGAGTTTTACTAGCCAGTGTGTGAACACCGCAGCATAATTGATATAGGAACTGCATTAGGTGCTTTTAGCATTACTGCCACCTGAGCGATTCCTCGTGCATTTCAGCAGGCTTATTTGCCCTTTTAATCAAGGTGAAGAGGTTAAAGAGGCTCTCAAATGACTTTTGCATACAACCCATAACAGGCCTTGAAATGGGTTAACACGATAAAAAAAATTTTTTTTCCATAGAAACGGAAGCTTGTGATACCTGTTTTAGTCGCCTCCATTTAGCACGTCGATTCTGAAACCATGTTTTCACCTAGAGGAAACCAAAAAATGAAAACTTAGCCAGTCTAAAGTTCCAAAGGATGTGAGTCGGGAGGAAGGGCGGGCAAAACTGCGCTCATGCTGTCTAGCCACGGGAGCGGCCGGCAGCTCGAAGTCTCACTTCCCTGGGGCGGGCGACCCCTCCACCCCAAGAACCTGGCTTCCCCCCCGCCACTCCAGGAGATCCCCAGGGGCGCTCACCTGCCTCTCGCTGAGCTGCAGCATCTTGGCCAGGCGCTTCCGCTCGGGCGGGGAGAGGTATTTCTGGGTCTCGAACTTCTTCTCCAGCTCGATGGTCTGATCGTTGGAGAACCTCACCTGGCCGCCTTTCCGTTTGTGCAGCGGCCTTTGCAGGAAGGGGCTCCAGAGCAAAGGTTTGCCTGCGGGCGGGCGAGAAGAGCCGCGATGAAGCCACTGTCCTGGCGCACTGAGGGCCTGATCCCGAGGGGGTGACAAAGGCGGCCAGGAGAGCAAGGATCCCCCAGGCAGCCAGTTCCCAAACAAGCCACGCACACACACACACACAAACACTGTATAATGACATGTACACATACAAAATCATATACTACATATGAACATAGATCCACCCTGGGCACGCCCACTCACAACCATCACATCCAGAGTTGGATACGGGCACACCAACTCCTTAATCTCGACAAGCACGCCCGCTACAACTTGAATTTAAAACGCCAAGACTCTCTTGTGTGTCATTCTTCTACCCTCTCCAATGTATACACGACTTTCTGCGCTCCCAGGGCCTCTCTTAGGAAGCCCGCTTCCCAAACCCCAGGGAGTGGGCGTGTTGGGGGAACGGCGGGGCTATACCCTGACCCAAGGCCGAGAGACAGCGCGGGGGCCCAGGCGCCCTGGCGGGCGTGGAGCCTCCAATCCGGGCCCGAGGGCACAGCGGCCTCTGATTTCACTCCCGACCCGCGGGGGCGGCCAGTTAAAGCCACCTCGTGGGCTATGGCAACATTTCCGTCAATGTGTTTCCTGTTGGTCTATCGCGAAAAACCCTTTGCTTCCTCCTGCGTAGTCCCACCAGTAACCCAAGGAAACCCAGAGAGCTCGATGCAAATGTTTGCTCTCGGGCCCAGCACCGCCGAGGGTCTCCACTGGCCCCTGGCTGGTGACCGGGCCACCCTGGAGCCGCTGCCCAAACCCTCCACTAGGCTGGAATAAAAATACTCAATATAAAAAACATTTAAATTTTAAAAACTAAATAATTCAAGGAAAAAATCTCCCTTAATGGTGCGAGGGAAAGCTGGAATGGGTTAGAGGCTGTCACGATAATTATGATTCAACATGACTATTAAATTAACAGGAGCCCTGGTGGGCGTCGTGGTGACACGCTGGGCTTCCAAACACCAGATCAGCAGGTAGAAACCACCAGCCGCTCCACGAGCCAGCGAACGACAACGCTTTCTACTCCCGTAAAGGGTTTGAGTGGCAGTGAGATTAAATGACAGTCACCATCTCCAGCGGCTTACTGAACCTGCCAATAACAGTGAATTGGTATCCAAACATCACGGTTCCCTCTTATGCGCCTCCTCGCTGGGTGCCCCGAAGGGGCCAAGGGATTCCCCGCGGTCTTTGGCAGTTGACCGAGTGCCCGCCAACTCCAGAGGCCCGCGCAGCCCTTCCCAAAGTGCGCCTGGGGCCCGCCGCTGGCCCTCCAAAGACCTGGCCGTCGGGTCGTGCTTCTGCGGGCCTGCGACTGAACACTTCGAAAAGTGGTGGGTGAGTGCGAGGCACGGGGTGCTGGTGGGGTGGGGTGTGTGTGTGTGTTTTCTCGAGATTTTGCTTGCGTCAGGCTTCAGACTGGTGCAAAACAGCCTCGGGGGGAGGGGGGGCATAAAAAAAGGAAGCAACTGGTTATTTTAGCTGCCATATAGTCACATCCCACACAGAGGAAATGAACAATATCAGAAAAACGGATCCCGGCTATCAGAAGTCGAGTGTTTCCTGAATTTGTCTGTATTGAGGATGTCGATAAAATAATCAGCAGCGTGCACTACTCCGGGGGAAGGGTCTGCTTCACGCAGCCAGGAAAACACTTAACAGCTTCTGAAACCAGATTTACTCCTATCGAGAACTCAAGATTTCCTGTATGAACGGAAAGGGTCAGGCTCTTTTCACTGCACAAGCTTGTTGAACCAAGTCCAGCCCCGTAACCTTCCGAGCCCGGCAGCTGTTCCTGCCCCGCAGGGGCCGCCTGCAGCGCCTGGGTTAACACCCCCCCACACCCCGCCTGGCCCTCCCGCCGCCAAGGGGCCCCACCCCGGGCGACGTGCACGGACCGGGGCTGGTCTCCCCGGCCAGCGGCGCCCCAAGTCTGGCCGGGGCTCGCGCGCCCCGACGCCTGCAAGGTGCAGAAAACCAATCTGAAGCAGCGTGCGGTCAGCCCCGGCCGCGCGCTGCCCGGGCCCGCGCC